CAGGATATGTGAGGAGGCAGCTTCTGCCTCACCAGCCTGCTTGCTCATTCATTGGGTCATTGGACCTGCTCGTGGGGCTTTTGCCCAGTTCTGTAGCCCAACTGGAGGCTACCCAGAGGAAAGCCTTCAGTATAGTAACTCCCCTTATGGGATTTCCTGCATCTGAAGGCAGGTATCAGCACGGTGTCCTTTTTGGAGCCTTCTGTGTCTGGAATAATGTCACACTGATTTTAAAGCATTATTTTATTCTTTTATCTTCTTATTGTTCACTACTCTAGAATTGATGTAAAATGGAATAGCATGCAAATGCTGTAAAGACAGAGAAGGACCCAGACCAGCAGGATTCCTAGCTTCATGAAGAACGTTCACAGCCTGGCAGAAACACTAGTTTGACTTTCTTGAGCTGCAGTACCACTACCAGACTGATCAGATCAGCCTGACTTAACTGGAGGAAACAATTGGGACCAGGCCAGCTCTCTGTAATTGCTTCACCAGGCATGATTCCTTAGTCTAAGCAACTTGAGTAGCAATCCAGACTTCTTTGTCTCGCCTCTGCCCATTTGACCACAGCTTGTGTGTCAGACTCTGGAGCCCACTGCAAAGCTGGGGCCAGTCAGCGGTCTTGGATCTTTCACATTTGTTGGGAGGCATAAAGAGCAGAGATGCCAGATTGGATGTAGCCTTCACAGTGGTGCATCTAGGGCATTTTGACCCTGGCCATGTGAATTGATTCAGGTGTGAAGCACACAATTAAAACTTCTCTCCCTCCCTTTGTGGTGTTGCCAAGATGCAATGTTGAGAGACAGGTAGAGTAAAGCTTGTCAACAAAGCGTTAATGTCATTGTTATAGCTAAGGGTTCCTCTGTAAAGGAAGGGCTTTGGGGTCAAGCCCACCTAGGATTTAGCAATTTCAGATTCGCGAGCCTTGCCCAAAATCCCAATGTGGAGCTTGATGTTATTCAGTGGAGAAGGAGAGGCATTCAATGTATACATAGGAATTCCTCTACTTTATTGCTTCTATGGTACTTCTGTATAATTGCTTCACATGTTCAGAGATTTTTGTCCAACTAAATTAGCATAGCATAGTATTAACACCAATGAATGCTATTGTAATGGGTTAAATTAGCACAGCATAACTAGAAAATTTAGGCTTAAATTGAGGAAAGTAGGGAAAAGCACTAGGCCACTCTGGTATGACCTAAATCATATTCCTGATAAATATACAGTAGAGGTGACAAATAGATTTAAGGAATTAGATCAGATAGACAGAGTGCCTGAAGAACTATGGAAGGAAGTTCACAACATTGTACAAGAGGTAGCAACTAAAACCATCCCAAAGAAAAAGAAATGCAAGAAAGCAAAATGGCTGTCTGAGGAAGCTTTACAAATAGCTGAAAAAAGAAGGGAAGCGAAAGGCAAAGGAGAAAGGGAAAGTTACACCTAATTGAATGCAGAATTCCAGAGAATAGCTAGAAGAGATAAGAATGCCTTCTTAAATGAACAGTGCAAAGAAATAGAAGAAAACAATAGAATAGGGAGGACCAGAGATCTCTTCAAGAAAATTGGAGATTTGAAGGGAATGTTTCATGCAAAGATGAGCATGATAAAGGACCAAAATGGCAGGGCCCTAACAGAGAAGAGATTAAGAAGAGGTGGCAAGATTACACAGGAGAACTATACAAGAAAGAGCTTAATGTCCCCAATAACCACAATGGGGTGGTCACTGACCTCGAGCCAGACATCCTGGAAGGTGAAGTCAAATGGGCCTTAGGAAGTCTGAGCAACAACAAAGCCAGTGGAGGCGACAGTATTACAGCTGAGCTATTCAAAATCCTAAAAGACAATGCAGTAAAAGTGCTACACTCAATATGCCAGCAAATTTGGAAAACTCAACAGTGGCCACCGGATTGGAAAAGGTCAGTTTACATTCTAATCCCAAAGAAGGTCAATGCCAAAGAATGTTCAAACTACCACACCATTGCACTAATTTCACATGCTAGCAAAGTTATACTCAAAATCCTACAAGCTAGGCTCCAGCAGTATGTGAACTGAGAACTACCAGAAATACAGGCAGGATTTCGAAGAGGCAGAGGAACAAGAGATCAAATTGTCAACGTACGTTGGATCATGGAGAAAGCTAAGGAGTTCCAGAAAAACATCTGCTTCATTGACTATGCTAAAGCCTTTGATTGTATCAAACTGTGGCAAGTTCTTAGAGATGGGAGTACCAGATCATCTTTTTTGTCTCTTGAGAAACCTGGTCAAGAAGCAACAGTGAGAACTGGACACGGAACCACTGAATGGTTCAAAACTGAGAAAGGAGTTCGGCAAGGCTGTATACTGTTGCCCTGCCTTTTTAACTTATATGCAGAGCACATCATGAGAAAGGTGGGGCTAGATGAATCACCAGTTGGAATTAAGATTGCTGGGAGAAATATCAACAACCTCAGATATGCAGATGATACCACTCTAATGACAGAGAGTGACGAGGAACTAAAGAGCCTCTTGATGTGGGTGAAGGAGGAGAGCACAAAAGCTGGCTTGAAACTCAACATTAAGAAAACTAAGATCATGGCATCTGGTCCTCTCACTTCTTGGCAAATAGATGGGGAAGAAATGGAGGTAGTGACAGATTCTATTTTCCTGGGCTCCAAGATCACCGCAGATGGGGACTGCAGTCAAGAAATTAAAAGACGCTTGCTCCTTGGGGGAAAAGCTATGGCAAATCTAGACAGCATACTAAAAAGCAGAGACATCACCCTGCCGACAAAAGTGCGTATAGTCAAGGCTATGGTTTTCCCAGTTGCAATGTATGGCTGTGAAAGCTGGACCATAAGGAAGGCTGAGCGCCGAAGAACTCAGGCCTTTGAATTGTGGTGCTGCAGAAGACTCCTGAGAGTCCGATGGACTGCAAGGCAATCAAACCAGTCAGTCCTAGAGGAGATCAACCCTGACTGCTCTTTAAAAGGCCAGATCCTGAAGATGAAACTCAAATACTTTGGCCACCTAATGAGAAGGAAGGACTCACTGAAGAAGAGCCTAATGCTGGGAACAATAGATGGCAAAAGAAGAAGGGGGCGGCAGAGGATGAGGTGGCTGGATGGAGTCACTGAGGCAGTTGGTGTGAGCTTAAGTGGACTCCGGGGGATGGTGGAGGACAGGAAGGCCTGGAGGAATGTTGTCCATGGGGTTGCGATGGGTTGGACACGACTTCACGACTAACAACAACTAGAAAAACTGTGCTGTCTCCTGTAAGTGATGTTGTGAATTGGCTACTCCATTCCGCACTGAAATGCCACAAGCTCTTTGCATTAGAAGGTCTTCAGCTTTAATTTAGTTCCTTTCTTCATTTGTACTGAGTATACTCATGTATCTGCTAAGGATAAAACTTCAGGGATCTGTCTGTCAGGGTTAGGTCACAAAAGACCATGCCACAATAACTTTTTCCCCTTTGTATAAGATGCCACAAGATTGTTTTTTGTTGCTGCACAATCTCTGGCTGTTACTTGGCCTAATGTATGAGATCACATTTCACTTGTCAACAAAAAAAATGACTAACCATTATATTCACAACACTAATGAGGACTCGAGTCCCACTTTGCTTTGTTCATGAAAAGAGTAGAGGTACACAACAGTAATTTGAATAATAAGTGACAATGTACCTATCAGAATTGCAATCTTGTTAACATTGTGAGTTGTGCCCATTTAAGGACATACTTTTAACTAAAGATGCATATATGACCAGGGCTGGAAGGACTGATATTGTGAGTCTGGGCTTCTCTTATGGGAGTAGGGGAAAAGACCAAAGGAAAACTATAAGCTCAGTGGTAATGCACTTGTTTTGCATGCAAAATTAGAATTCATCAACAGCTTTAATTCTATTGCCAAAGGTTTAAATTGGGATTACAGATTTTTATCACACTGCATACATTACTTGGCTCACCTAATGTCAGCATGTTTATTATCAGCAACAGCTGCATTGTAAATTAATATTGTTATTGATGTGATTGTCACTATTAGTACTTTCTGCACTGAATTTCTTTCTGATCTCACTGTTTATGATTATCTCCCTTCCACCCACCCCTCATATGTACTGTATAAAAAGCCTGAAACTCTTCATAATATTCCATGCATCTGATAGAGTGGGCTATAGGCTCCCCCAAACTTACCCCCAAATAAACGTCTTAAGACTTTATATATTAAAAGGCTCCTTGTTATCTCTTATCTTAGTTTCCCTAATTCCTTTGTGGGGTAGAAATGATAATCTACTGGATAGCAAATGTTGATGTTTTATGACTGCTCCCGGTAGCTTTTCTGTTTTATTAATCTATTAACTCTTTGAAAACTATTCGTGCAGTTTTATAAGGATGTAGCTTATTGTTTTGATTATTGCTTTACGTTGGGAACGGCTGTGTAAAATCTCAAAGCGCATGATACAATTCTTATAAATCTGAAGATAAGCAAACTGTTTTCCACCTCCCACCCAGCGCCCTTCAGTGCAGGAAGTGTAGTCAGAGCAATAAAATGTGCATTTAAAAAAAAGGCAAAATCCGAGTTTCAAAGAGTATGAACATCTGCCTTTGCTTTTACTTGTTCTGTTTCGAAAGGTGGGAACGCGCTGCTGAGAAATCACGGCACCACACCTGGATTACTGCACTGTCTCTTTTGAACAACTGGCAATTTTACCACTCTGTCCAGAAATAGGCAAAGGAAAATAGCCAGGACATCCCGTGCAGAATCAAAAGACAAGCATCCGCCGTCCTTGCATCTTTTTGCCTTGCAGGCTCATTCACTGCACTCAATTAAAATTGCAGCAGGACGGAAAGTAGCCGGATCGACCAATCGCCGAAGGCGTTATAGTCTGCACATCCTGTCTTCCTATTGAACTCTACGTTCTTCCTCCATAGAGATGACCGGACGTTGCCGTCATTGGTAGACAGGCGACTGCCATTGGTTGTTCGGGTTTGGGGCGGGGACTGCTATTTCTGCTGTCCTGCCGCGCGAGGAAGTAGGCGCGGTATGCTTGCGAGGCGCTCTGCTCCCTTCAGCGCAGCCATCTGCGCAGCTCGGCTGCTCCATTTTCCTGGCAGCTCGCCACTGAGTCTGCGGAAGCGCTGGTGATGCAGGCTGGCGAGCGGAGGCCGGTTAGCGAGTGAGGTGGCTTCCCAGGTTTCAGCTGCAACGCTGGATCCGGGGACATAAAATCGCTGCTTCTCCGCTCGTCACGGCAGGGAGGTTCCTCCTGGCTGCCCTTTGTTTTCACGGTGGAGGCGGCACAGGTAACGTTGCGGAGAAAGTTTGGTAGAACACTGTTCACTTCTTCAGATGCGGGCCACAGTCTACAAAAAACTTATGCCAGTCTTCCCCAACCTGGTGCCCTTCAAATATGTCAGACTGCCACTTCTAGCGGGGGATGCTGGGTGTTGTAATCCGGGACATATGGAAGGCACCAAGTTGAGGAAGGTTGGCTTGTGCCATAGTAAATGTGATAGGCATAAAAATGCCATAAGCCTTGTTCAAGTTAGTCGGCACACTTACATGAAGAACAGTTGCGAAAGGGCAGCTGTATGCATATGCTGAAACAAAAAGAGAGACATGTTCTGCTAACTAGTTGGCTGGCAGTGAAGGTTTTGTAGGTGAAAGCCTATTTTGTTAACAGATGCATGAGTGGATTAGAGTGTTAGGGAAATATGCATATGGCTGGGAGGAATTAAGTTAATAAAGTGAAACTTAACATATATGTACTGGTCCTGAAATTAAGGGACTGGATTGATAGTTGCAAGGCCGAAATCTGTGCATTATCTGTTCATGTGGAGACATTGCTCTGAATGTCCACGGTCCTTAGTCTAGCATGGAATCTGATTAGATAGGCTATAATTATTGTACTAGTGGTATGAAAATTGATCGGGCTTTCTCCAACTTTTGCTTTTGGGATCTCTGGCCAGAATGGGCAACAGCCAGGAATGCTGGGAATTACAGTCCAAAAGCATCTGGAGGGCACTGAGTTGGGGAACATTGGATTACATAGCACCCTGGTGGTTATTCTCTTTTTACGGTGGCCCACATAACAGGGGCCTTGTAATACCGTTCATGGGCTCCAATTTACTGTTATTGTTTCCAGAAGCTACATCTCAATTCAGTCTCCAAACTTCTACATTTTGGAAGGCTAAATATTTTAAAAGAAAGCTGAGAAAGACAATTCTGTCACAAGCATTGTGATCTTAAAACTAAATGGCCCCTTATGCTCTTTCCGGATTCAAGAAACTGTAAAATAATCAACTCATAAAGTGTGAGGTTGGTAAAATCAATGGACAGCCTGATTCACATGAGCTGTGGATATGAATAAGCTGGCAAATACTTGAATTCAGTATTTGCCCAATTTAGAGTAGACCCATTAAAATGATTGATACATATCTTACACTAATTCTTAGGTTCCAGTCCTGTGTGAATGAAGGCTGCAGAATTCATCGGGAATTATTTCCAAGTCAGCATACATATAATTAGGCTACCTTAGGAAAGTGCTACTGAGTGTGAGAGAAGCTGACATACTGTAGACCAGTGTTTTTCAACTGCCGGTCCACAAAGAGCCAGGACCAGCGAGGGGCTCGCAGCGCTCTCCCTGCTGATTCCCCACCTCTTCCTTGGCTGAGGAGACCGCGGAGGGGAGAGGAAACTCAATGGGGAGCCCAGCCAGAGCCCCACCGCGGCTGGTCCGCCCTAGGGGTGGAGACTCAAAGACCAGGCCTTTTCCTTTCTCTGCTGTTTTCACCTCTGCTGTGGGAAGGGAAATGCAGAGGTGGGATTGTGCTGAGAGTGTTTTCTCAGCCAGTCCGTGCTGGTGTGTATGGGGGTGGGGGGGGTCACTCTATTTCATTATTTAACATTATGAATATTATTGTATTAAGTAACTTGGTTTGATTTTGTATTGCCCTGCTGTTAATAATGTATTTGGATTTGGATTTGCTATGAGCAAAATATTGCATTTATATTGATTGTGTATTTTGCTATTATAAATTTTCAATCATGTATTCTTGAAGCAGCAGCAGATTTCACAGTAGCCTTATTTGAATTACATATTGCTCTCTAAAAATTTCAGTTGTATTTGGTTACATTTAATTTCAATACTTTATTTTATTAGCACTTTTTACTGCTTAGTTTCTGGTTATTTTAGAAAATTTTCCTTTTTTGGGACTGTATTTAAAAACTAATACACAAAATACTATATTATGTATATAATGCTTTTTATTTCTGCCTCAGTGGTCCCTGAAATATTTTTCCTATTTTTGCCAGTCTCCAGCTGTAAAAAAAGTTGAAAACCACTGCTGTAGACTACATAATTTAAATAGTGCCCCCCCTCCCGATCTTGGCAGTTTGAGAAGAACATGATGCCTTAACTGAAAACTATTTTGTATTTTCTTTAAATTTGCCAGGTGCAACCAAAGAATGTCAGTGAACCATTTCCTTGGGAATAAGAAGAGAAACAGCTCCATTTTGTACCATGTGGACCAGGCAAAAGTTACGACTTCACCTTCATCTCTCCAGAGAGCTACAAACCAGAGTCATGTTGGAAACCATGGAGAAGGCTTCCCACCAAACAAGCGTTACAAAAGCTTTGCTGCAGCTGAGTGTAAAGAAATGGAAGATCCTTTTGCAGACAGTGATGACTTTACAGCAGATGACTTGGAGGAGATAGATATTATTGCTACTCAGGCAATGGCAGAAAAAGTTTCCTTTGAAACAAATACATGGAGAACTGGGCAAAATACAGAACTGTCTTCCATAGTAAATAGCACTTTCAAGGTACCTAATCATATGAAGCCATGGAATATTGCCCACACAGCTGAGACAACTTCTGCATGTCAGTTTGGTATGTGCAGTTTGCATTTTCATATGTAAGCATATAGATAGAAACTGGAACATATCTTTTTTATCTTTAGGGAGCTAAGTATAATTTGGATAATACAGCTAAAGATGTTCAGAGGCCACATATATCTCAGTATAATCAATTTCATCAGAGGAGAGATAGAAGGGATTCATTGCTATGCATTCTGGGGAGACAAGTGAAAGCTCCTGAAGAATGCATTGGATTTCTGCAATGAGTTGGGTAGAATATTTCAGGCACTTTGAGCACCTCTTCTCTTTCATTCTTGTGTGTTGTCTAAATGTTGTGGCTTTGAACTCCCATCAGCCCTGGCCAGTGTAGCCCCTGGTGAAGGATAATGGGAGTTGTACGTCAAAATATCTGTAGGGCCACAAGTTGCCTACCACTGCAGTCAAGACATGGCCATGAGATTTGAGCCCAGTGAAACATTTCCAAGCAGAAACGGACTGGTTTGTACTGTGAATTAGAGAACTAGTTGTGTGTTTTGGCTCTTACAGTCTGTATAGTACGACATCAAGCACAGCAGTTTGTGCTGATTCACTAGCCCATGTAGCAGAAAAAAATTGTTCATTTTTAATTAATTATTGACTTTGCTGCACAGACTGTGCAGTTGGCTTCTGTTTCTGAATTCAGGGGTGGTTAAAAATACACGAATGGGCACTCAAGCAGTGTTGTGTGTCAAGCTCAATACGATCCCAGCAAGCACCCAGTGTTGCTGTTTGTAGAAAATTAGGCTGTGGTCCTTGACGTGGTTGTACAGATTTAAATTGCATTGGAATCAGTTAATGTGAGTTTATGCAATGGTGCACTGGACTGCAGATACAGATTATTGCTTTCCTTTGGCCTGACTTAACATTTGTATAAAACTGTGCAAAACAGTTGATTTCTTAGAAATGCTTTTTGCTGTAAACAAACTTAAATATTTCTATTTTATTTATAACATTTTATCCCATCTTTTTCCAAAATGGATCTCAAGACAGCTTACAAAACCAGAGACATAACACCATATTAGAAATATAAGAAATCCAAGAAATATTAGAAATCCAGTATATAAAAATATGCAGTAAAATAATTCCATTATGTGATAAAAACAATGGCAGGAAAACTAAGTGATCATTGTGTATTACTTTGACATTTACAGTATTCTTTTTAGATGCTGGGATGGCACATGTGTCATGACAAGCCACCATAAATAAAGTTGGTGTTGATAACCCTTGGGGTGTTGCAGTTCATACTGGCTGCCATTTTGAATGTGCAAGCCACATCTGGTGGTTGCCATAGCTTGTTGTATTATGTGAGCTCGGACAGCAGGTGTTGAATGAGGATTAAACAGCCCTCACACAGCTCATGGTCTGTTTTAGTGTGGCTGGCCGTGACATGAAAAACAGATAATGGTATTAATGTAGGTTAGGCGACCATTGTATAGTAGCTGGCACAGGGCTTGGTCAGGTGGAGGTCTTCCCAGCATCTTTTACTTCGCAGGAAAGTATTGCATATGCAATTCATCGAGACTGAACTCAAGTAACTTGCACTAAGGGAGTGGAAGATCAAGATGGAAGAACAGGCCTTGATGCTGGTCAGGGGAAATAAAGTGTCTGTCCGCTTATGCATGTATGCTAAGGGAAGAAAAGGCCTGTGTGGATTCTTTCACATGCAGGCATCCAGGCCTTATTAGGAGTAGATTGCTGATATGTACACAAAAACGTTCATCACATTTCATAACTTTCCTTCTGTCAACAGGAAGGAGCAGAGAAGAAGCCCCACCTAAAGACAAATTTAAAATCGAAACACTTCAAGCACAATATGAGGAAGCGAAGAAAAAGGTTTGTTTTTGGTCTTTTGAAACAGTTTTTGAATTTAATATGCTCATACTCCTTGGCATGCGCTAGTGGAGAAGTCCTTGACCCAAGACCTGGATCTCCTGCAAAAATGCTTCTGTGGGAGATGAAGGGGGAAGCAGATCATGCTTTATTACTTAAAATAGTGGTGTTTGTGTGCACTTAGTGAAATCAACAAATATGAATGGTGGGTGACTGACTTTTTATTAGAGTGGGGATAGTGTTCTTCCATTATGTGTTGCTCATCTCACATTCACAAAAATGTATTAATATGGCTTTGGAGGTTAGGAGGTGAGCTTAAAAAAGGTTGAGAGACTAGTATCAGTGCTGCGCTAAAATATTTAACTGATTCTTAAACTCTGATCCTTAAACTAGGTGATAATTGATGCTCCATCTTTTATGCAGAAAACCATGATTTTAGAATGGGAAACATGCACAAAAGCTAAGTGATCTGTTAGGGCCTGGACTTGGGGGCAAGGGATGAGACCTGACTCTCGGGGAATCCCTTTGTACTGAACTTGGCCTGTCACAGCAGTAATAGGAATACCAGCATAACGAACATGGTAAGAGTGCTGTGTTTCTTATGCTTGAACTGTTTTGTAAATTTGCAGCTGAAGGAAATGCAAGATGAAATCCTCACTAAAAATGGAGAAATCAAAATTCTCCGGGACTCAATGCAGCAAATGAAATCCAGTCTGGAGGAGCAGCAGAAATCATACATGGAAATGGAAAAAGAGAAGCTTCAAATTTCAAGTGAAAAGGAAAAGGAATTCTCCAGAAAGGTACTAGTTAATAAATCAAAATAGAATCTACTTAAAAATATTAAATGTCCTTTGTTTGAAAACTTCATTTTGTTCACTCTCTGTTTCTCTCTTCGGGGGTTTAACTATATGTTGAAAGGTGAATGTATACTTAAAAGAGTATCTTTGTTTTCTTTTCTTTTTTTTTTAATTAAGGAATTCAATAAATAGAGTATTTGGTATCAGTTGAAAATTCTTCCTAATGGTTTGTGTTATGTAGACAGCGTATCTATAATTTTTCTTTTATTCTATTCCTTCAGTTATTTAAATGTTCACATGAAAGCAGTATTAAAAAAAGAAAAGTATACATCGTCTGACACACTTCATTGCATACAACTAAAGAAGTGCTAATAACATTTAAGAATTAACGTTAAATTTCTCAAGTGTAGAAATGTGTGGTTCTTGTTTGTGATGCTACAGCGCAGCTGTTTGCACACTTTCTGCTCCCAAGCACACAGGTTGTTGCTAAGCAAGTCCTACATAAATTTCATTTTGAAATTTTTATACAGCCCAGTAGCCAAAGCTTGCTGGGTAATTTATAAAAGTAAAAGCCTTAAAAATACACTATAAAAACATTTGCATGCAGATGTGTAATTGGAAGGCACACACTTAGACACATACCTAAAACAATTTAAAATGAAGTAAGATTGTTGGTATTCAGTCTCCGTTTCTCAGTGCCCATTGTTCCGAAGCAAGACCAAATACTCTGCTAAAGTGAGTTGTTAATGTTTCTTCTGCCTATTAAAGACGTATTATCTTTGACTTAGAGTACTGGTGGTTTGCTGTATTATGCCTTTTCTCTTCCAAGGTGTATAACATGCAAGTGGAAGTATCCAACCATTTTTGTTTGGCTAATAACCACAATCTGCAGCCACATTAATTTGGGTGGAACTTGGAGGAAAATATGAACAATACTTTGAGCAGTAAATTGAGCAATGAAGAATGAATTCGTTCTTTCATTATATTGGATATTTTTAATGTTTTTGTGTTTTATTGTGTTTTAATATCAGACAATTTATTCTTTCAGTTACAGTCATTGCAGTCTGAGCTACAGTTCAGAGATGCTGAAATGAATGAACTGAGAACAAAGCTTTTGAGCTGTGAAAGAATTAAACCTGTTATTCCTTCAGTTTCATACATCAGGTATAAAGTAAGAAACACAAATCAGCTAGTATATACAGGTTCATTCTGTTTCAGGACAGCTGAGAAGATGAGCATCTATCCTTTTTGTAGCTGAATATAATGAATTTCAAGACTGTTTCCACTAGTAGATCATAGTGCAAACACAATAACTGAACATGCAAGATAGAAGATTGTCTTCCAACCACTAGAATCTTCCTAAACGATACTGTGAATTTCCCACCTTGTTCCTCATATAATTGGAAGATGAACTAATGTGTCCAGTTCTACTTAGCTCTATGGAGCTTCTAGAGTTGTTGATTTACGCTCATTCCTTTGGAGGTATAATTCACCAGAATCATTGATTGGACAATATTTTTGTGGTATAAGCAATGAAGAAAGTTCTCAGGTAAATACGTCTTTGCAATTAATGCATACTATTTGTTTAATTTTTTAGTCCAAAAAAGAGTCCCTCTAGCATTATAAAAGTTGAAGGATCAACTCAGAATGAAAAAAAAAGTTACCCCACAAACGATTCCTTTGGCTCTGAGTTATCACCTAAAGCAACCTGCTCCAGAACACTGTTGCAGACCCAAGCTTCTAGGACTAATAAGAGTAAGTATGTGTTTTAGTTAATTATATTTGACTTTTGTGAATACATACTAGTGGCTTGTATAGGCAAACAAATATTGGTGGAATTTGTATGAATTTGTGCAGGAATGGATGAAGGAGGTGTAGCAGTGTGCAGACTTGACACCACTGTGTAGCACAGTTGGGTAAATGTTAGGCCCTGTGCCTCTCCTGACAAGTGGCCCAGAGTTACATAACTCCCCCCACTCTGGACCCTTTGGATGTAGCTGCCATCTTTATTTTTGTGGAAAGCGTTGCATTATTATTTATTAATTATATTTTTCTCCTGCCTTTTTTTCCTTTTCAAGCAATGTGAGGTGGTTTACATAATTCTCTTTCCCCTCTCAATGTTATCCTCACAACAACAACCCTGTGAGGTAGGTTACACTGAGTGTTACGACTGACCCAACATCTCCCAGTGAGTTCACGGCTGAGTAGGGACTAGAACCCATATTTCCTGAGTACCAGTCTCCTCTCTCAACCACTACACCACATTGGCTTTCAAATTCCAGTTTGGGTGCATTTTGGATTAAAAGCACAAGGCTGCCACCACACAAACGTTGCAGAAGTAGAACATCCAGTATGTTGCATTTTGGGAAGATATATGGGGCAGCCATAACCATGGTGGGGTCATATTTACCCTGGAGAGCAGCATGCAGTGCCCTCCTCCCCAAACTCTGACAGGGTGGGCTGAGCCCATTATTCGTACAGCACCTTAGATCATGGTGGTCCAGTAGTGATTGGACCATTAACTCCTGTTCTCCTTGATAATTCTGTGAGAAGGATGTTGTTTCTTTGGCCGAGCTTCTCCAAGGCCACCCATGCAATAAGGGTGCCACTCAACCATAGAAGGAAAGCCTGCCCTGGTCTATTATAGTGTCTTTTAACAGCAGCTTGTTCTGCAGAAATGAAGAGGTGAAGTTTTCCCAAGTAGAGATAAGTGTGACAATGTGCTAATACAATGGGAGTTGGAGCCATCAGGTAGATGGTTATCTCTGGGCGGTCTCCACTTCCACCCATCTCCTGGCATGGATAACTCTGGTGGGTTAATGACAGGCTTCCTGGGCATCAAGGTGCCATTGGTGAATGCCAGGTCATCCAAGGAAAGTTGAAGATAATTAGTGACCTAATCCAGTGTGTAACTGGTGTGTATAACTGAAAACCAGTTATATGCAGATGTTGGTGTAAATAGTGTACAATAATAAGACCCAACTGGGTAATAGTTGCACTGGTTGCAAGTATATTTCTGTGCTCAGTTTAAACAGCTGGGCATCATCTTTAAAGTCCCAAGTGTCTTGGAAGCAGGTTACTTAAAGGACTGCTGCCATCCCTGCAAACCTGCTTGGATCCAGCCAGTAAGAGCTATTAGGCTGGCAAGCACAAAGGAGAGGGCCTTCCCTATGCTGCTTTAATCCTTATTATGGACTGGGTGCATGGCTCTTTTATGAGGGTTTCTAAATGGGCGTTTAATCTAAATGGGCGTTTAAATGGGCCTGGATGTTTCAATCTATTTTTAAATGAATGGATGTCTGTCTCTCTTTTATAAATTTATTTTTATTGTTCTTGTCTTAAACATTTATGTTAGTGTTTTATTTAGCCGTATTTCATATTTTATTAAAATTGTATCTTGTAAACTGACTTGAGGATGCTTTAGGCAATATAACATTCTTTAAATAAAAAGACACAGTAACAGAAACTGATTAAAATTTGACAACTGTACCATTCAGTCCACAGCAGTGCTCGGATTTCTATTACGCATTTGCATACAGGTTATGAAAAGCCAGCATAAATGGAGTACATCAACAGCGAAACCTAACCATTTCAAAATCTGAACAGATTCTAAAATTCTATCTTCTTTTTCTTGATGTATCTGGGGCATTACATAACCTATGTGAATAGCATTAATTATCCTTCAGCTAGACTGTGGAGAAAATAAATGTATTGTTACTGATTTTCTAATGTAAGAATGCCCAGTATAAACTTGTATCTCTGTATACAGTTCAACTGAAGCACGAAAACTGAATGTCAGCAGTAGTATTACTGTCTTCTGATATAAGACACTCTAGATAGGGCTAAAAGCCAAAAGCAAATTTAATATTGCTACAGGGATTACTACAAAGCTTTCTTTCCAGACAATAAGATGCCTGACCTTGAGACAGAGACGGTGAAGCAAGAAACGAGTTATATCTGTGCTCAAAAACAAGGTAAGTCCAACCAAGAAATCTCATAATTGCATCCATATATTAGGATTAGAATTGTAAATAGAAATGTAAAATGTGTTCCCCTAGAGCATGAGTGAGCAGACTTCAGACTTGTAGGATATATTTTGGGTTTTTTAAATTAGAAACCAAGAGTTTAATCACATTCTGGGCCCAGGAACTTGTTTCAAGTAACTGAACTGAAGAGAGTGCGCAGTCTTTCCACAGAAAAATCCACTCCTGTTTCTTCTGAGCAATCTCCATTTCCTCTGTCTGTCTGAAAAGAATCAATTTGGCAAGGATTCTTAATTCCACCCTGTTTAACAATCTACTTCCAATCACCCAGAGATCAGCCTGGAGATTCTGCTGTAGTTTCTGTTCACTCAAGATCATAGGAACTCTAAAGGATCGTTGCAATTTTTGGGAGGTTTAGACCTGTGGACAGTACCTGGGTTCCTTCCTTTTGTTCTTTGAGTAAGCTCCTATTTCCTAGAACACCAGCCACTTCCCAGAGCCTCTCAGTCATCAGTCAAAACAAGGAGATATTCTGCCCTGGTTTATTATAGCTAAATGAGAAGTTGCTGTAAACAAATCAGTAAATGCACAGCAAAGCCAAAGGACTTTACAAATGAAATAACCAAGAGCTGTCAATTTATCTACAAGCATTAACAACAGACTTAGTTTAATATTTATGACTCAAACTAGCAGATTTTCTAGCTACATTAAATATTAATTCATTTGTATCCCATCAATCTGACCAAGGTTGTTCAAGTTATTAAATGATGGTACTCCAGTCTGGTCACCTTTTATTGTTCTTTCAAAGGTGCCTGCTTGACTAGACCCTCATTCTTTAGTGGTGAAACCACAAATTAAAACACATACACAGTGTTTAAATTGAATTAATCAGATTCTGAATGTGAGGCTTCCTGAAATGGCCCAAACCAGTTTTGTGAGTCTGAAGTCCCCTACATGCTCATTTTAAAATTTTAATCAGTGTTACTGAGTAATAGATACCAAAGACAACAGTTGTTTTTTCCAGTTTGTTGCTAGGTGTGTTTATATTATCCATGGTAATAATGGTCTGGAATTAGCTTTTTTTTGTGCCTGGCTTTTTGTGAACATCATTGCTTTGGCCAAACTTCTTGGTAAAGCAGTGTTATAGGGACTGCATTGGCTTTTCTTTTGAATGGGAACTGTGTCATCTTCAGAATACAGGCTTTCAGACACTCTTGGATGAAACATACTGTCGAGATCCATGTTAATCAGGCTTCAGGCCTGGTTTTGGAAGGAAGACTGCCTTGGTAGCCTGTAGCAGTACCTTTGCTGGGAGGGAGATAGGTGGAGTGTGACCCTGTTGATTTTCCTAGACCTCTCATTGGCTTTTGATACCATTGACTGTGATGTCCTTCTGGATAGACTGGGGAGGTTGGAGGTGCTGCTTTGTGGTGCTTTCACTCCTACCTGACCAACAGATTCCAGAAGGTTATGCTGGGAGATTATTGCCCTGTGCCATGGCACTTACGCCATGGAGTACCACAGGCTTCATTCTATCCCCCATGCTCTTTAACATCTGCATGAAACCACTGGGTGAGGTTACCTGGAGGTATGAGCTGAGAGGCCATCAGTATGCAGATGACACTCCGCTCTACTGCTCTTTTTCATCCAGCCCAGGCGAGGCAGTGGTTGTCCTGAATCAGTGCCTGAGTTCAGTTTTGGACTGGATGAGGGCCAGTAAACTGAAACCCGATTCAGACAAGATGGGGGTGCCATTGGTGGGTGGGTCATCTGTTCAGTTGGAAAATGTTCAACCTGTTCTGGATGAGGTTGCACTCCTCCTGCCAAAGGACAAGGTTTGTAGTTTGGCAGTGCTCCTAGACCCAGAACTGCAGCTGGAATCACAAGTGGACTCAGTGGCACGGAGCACCTTTCATCAGTTTAGGCTGATTTACCAACTATGTCCCTATCTGGACAGGCAGAGCCCAGGAACAGTCATCCATGTCCTGGTAGCCCCTTGTTTGGACTATTGTAACACATTCTGCATGGGGCTGCCTTTGAAAATGGAAATATTTTCCACTTCAGTTGGTGGAAAATAGAACAGCAAGGCTGCTAACCAGGACTGGCCAACACGAATACATCACATTAATCTTCTGGCAATTGTATTAGTTACCGATTGAAGTCTGGACACAATTCAAAGAGCGAACATTAACATTTAAAGCTCTAAATGGTTTGGGGCCTTGTTATCTGGAAGAACACCTCCTCCTGTATGGGTCTACCCAAACCCTGAGACCATCAGTGGAGGCCCTTCCAAAGGAAGCAAGGAGACTGCTTACTAGGAGAATGGCCTCCTCAGCTGTGGCGCCCCATCTGTTTATGTACTGTAAGTCACCTAGGAAGGCCTCAGCAGTCAAAGGTGGCCTATAAATACGTGTATAAATAAATAAAATCGGTGGAATGAGCTCCTCAAAGAGGTGTGCCTGTCACTCACACTTGGTTCCTTTTTGTGCCACATGAAAACCCAATATTTTAATAGCTAATTTTTTATTTCCATTTTTGTTTTACTCTTCCTCTAAGATTAACTGAGCTGTGGTGGCTGTCATATTGTATTATTGTATTTTATGGTGATGGTATAATTATTGTTTTGTATTTATTATTATATTTTGATTCTGTGATCTACCTGGGGAGATTTTGAGCTGATGGTGGTGTAAAAATATAATAAAAATAAACAAGTACTTCCTCCCTCTTGCACTTGCTTGTAACCTTATTTCAGCATATTGGTCCTCCAGCTGGTATCTCAGTGTTCCTTGTGGCAGAAACCATCTTGTATCTTCCTCTCTGCTCTGATCATTGCCCCATTTTATTCACCATTGGTGGTGTTTTTTCTGGAGCCTCAAACATGTTCAGCAGCGAGTGCTCCAAAAATGGAGCCCCAGAAAGGGATAGCAATGTGTTTGCTGCTACCTAGGACAGTGGAAACAGACAAGGGCATTGGCTAGCCAAGGCTAGGCATATCTGACATCCATAAGAGCACATTTGTGAAAGACCAACAATCCAAAACAATTTAAAATATATTTGTGTAATTTTCTGGGATTGAAAAAAGTGGGAGTGTTGACCCAGTGATGGGTGTTCCAAAGTGCTCCTTGGGCATCAGTGGAGGGACTGTCATTGGTGGTAGCAAAGGTAGGATCCTGAAGAGTGGAAGGGCTTTGTGGCTCTTCCCATACTAACCAGTCCCTGCAATTCATAGTGAGATTGCTGTCCTGGGACCTGATGACACAACAGCGTATTGTGGACTGAAGAGCCCTAGAACAAGCCATGGGGTTGTCTGGGATACCTGTTGCCCCAAAATAAGCCATCTTGTGGCAAAGCAGTCTGAAGATAACCCAGCATGGTGGCTTGCCCGCTATGCATAACATGCCATGCAGATCCAATCAAACTGACAGCCAAAGCTGGTTGAGGGTGCTCTGTGCCTCTCAGGCCACCTGAGTCTCAAGTGACAAAGGTGGATCAAGAAGCATCCCCAAGCTATGAACCTCCTTCAGGGGGAGTGCAACCCAATCTAGAACAGGTTAATCACCCCGTATCTGGTCAAGAGAACCACCCACCAGCAGTATCTCAGTCTGGTCTGGATGGAGCTCAGTTTGTTGGCCTTCATCCAGTCTGTTGTTAAGCCAGACACTGGTTTAGTGCATCCACAACCTCACCTGCTGAAGATGTAAAGGAGAAATAGAATTAGTTTGTTTGTTCGAGTTCTATTCCACTTTTTTCTCAATGAACTCGAAGTGACACGTCATTCTCCTGCTCTCAATCTTATCCCCACAACAACCACCTGTGTGGTAGGTTGCACTGAGAGTCTGTGACTGGGCCAAAATCACCTAGTTGGTTCCGTGACTGAGCAGAAACTGGAACCCAGATTGACTGAGTTCAATTCCAGCTATACTATACCACACAGACTCTCAAGTTAGGTAGCTTGGTGATGGCGTGTCATCAGCATACTGTCATGGAATAAATAAGAATTGTTTCAGCTGTGGATTTTCTATTACATTCCCTCTCCCATTTGCTGTGATTGTTGTGAACATTAAATTTATATATTGTTGCAGGTTCCATTTTGATAAATGCGCTGATGAGGCAGCCGATTGTTCCGGGATCATCGCTAGGACTCTGCTATCTTCTTAGCAGTAAGGTTGAAGCTCGGCCTGGTCCTGTCATGCAATCTAGTTCTTTCCCTGCGTATGTTTTAAGTAATAAGTGATTCTAAAAACATGTACTCTACAATAATATCAAAACCGTTCTTTGAATCAGAAGAAATATGCTTATTTCCATTTATAACAGTGTCTCCTTGCAAGAGCATGCAGTAAAAATCCTTTAAAAAAAAATCCTAGTGTTTTGCACAACTAGCATTATGTAACTCCAGGGAGATCTGCAACATAGTGGGCATGTTCACATGACAGGCTAAGCCACTCTGTGAATAAGCCATAATGTATGAGTTGTTCACAAAACAACCTACTTTTTGTCCAACGAATGGTTGGGCTTACGGTGGTTTGTACTCCCCCTCCTTTCCCCTCAGTCTTCCAGCTAATACTCCAGTGTCCTTAGCACCAGAATCTATCTGCTAGGAAGTGGCAAAAGATGGTGCACCAAAAGGTGGAGAAGATGCTATGTCTCTTTTCTGGAGAAGCTAGAGATGTACAGAAGTTTTGTAAAGGTGAGGGGCAATAAGAAGTGTCAGGTCAGCATTTTAAATGGAGAAAATTACATTGTTAAGAGGAGATCGTATTCTTCCCTGTTTCTTGGTGCACCTTCTCCCCCCCCCCCCCCGCTTTTAAATGCTTTTCAATGGACAACTGAGCAATTGCTCTTTCCTTGACCTCTCCCTCACTGGCAGTTGTTACACCGTGGTGTAATATTACATGTCTCTGATGTTAATATGGCATTAGGATTCTGGCAGTGGCATATCTCGAAGATCTGACTGTGCAAACTTCTGTTAAGACAAACTGAACCAATATCTCAGTTTTATTCTCCTTTTGTTACTTTTGGTATACGTGTTCTGATTCAATATGAGCCATCCAGAGAGCCCTTGGGCTATGGGGTGGCATGCAGATGCAATCAATCAAGAATAATTCAGCATAATAATTCTGTGTGTTTTGTACTCCACCTAGAGAGTCCTGTTGGACCATTAGCAGCAGAATATAAATATAGTACATAAAAGTAAATAATAAAATCTATTCTGAGGAAAGCATTAAATTAAGCCAGATCAGCCTTATGAGAGGGACCTTCCTCTTTGCAGGCCTTGGTGGCAGTAATAGGTTGAGCATATTGTGTGCGCTGTTGAAATAAGATGCTTTTTGAAACCCTCTGCTTGGAGCACCATATTCAGATTTTGAGACCTGCATGATGTTAGGGATATAGTATTGATTTCCTGCTCTGCTTTATCTAGAGGAGCTACGGGAAGCTTCTGTGACCGGATTGCAAGTTCTCAGGAAGAAGAGGCTTCACTGAGAGTGGCTCAGAGACTGGCCCTTGCTGGACTGAATCTGATTGCTATGGATGAAGATTCACTGGAAGGAAGCTCAGAAGAAAGCAGGCGAGGAATATCCCACCCTAAGCGCTACAAAATTCCTGGGGCAGTACATCTTCTTCCTCTCCTGGAACATCACATTGGTGCATATCACCAAGCCCTCCTCTTAATGATGAAGGCAGGGAGCAGTTCCTCGGGGAACCAATCTACTTGTTCTTCCAGAACGTCCTCTAGTACAGCATCAAGTGTAGACAATTTTTTATCTGCGCTCGAAGAGTTTGCCCTTGTGTCTCTTTGCATTCTTTATTATTTGGTATTTTATAGCTGGGATGTTATTTGTGCACTACTTTCTTTGAGTATGAAAGCGGATTGTGATTTGGGGGACAGAGAAGATCTGGAGAAGGACAAGAGTGTAATTCGCAATATGTCAGACAGAGCTGGTCTTCAGGAGCCCGAGCCCGAAGCAGATGTGACTAACGCTGAGCCATCCCAGCACCCCTTGTTCAAAAAGCTGCTGCAGCTTTTGACTTTATGTGCTACAGTGGTGGGGTGCCAAAGACACAGCATCGTGTATCAGTGCTTCAGAGTCTTGGTGAAATTAGCTGAACGTTCAACGGTTGACTTATTAATAAGGTAAAATACAGCTTGAGTACAACAGCCACTATTTCCAAAGAACTTTTCATGATTATTTGCCTGAGCCATGGTTATGGTCATGGTTATGAGCCAATAGTCATGGTTATCTTGATAAAGGATGCAGTTAGGTTGACACCTGTACCACTTTATTCTAGGCGTTATGGTCCTTCTGGTGAGGAATGTCAAAGCCACATTCCTGGGCATGTATGGACAGAAAAACATCCTACAACTCCCAGCATGCCCTAGCCAGCCATGCTGGGAATTGCAGGATTAACACGTCGGGGATGCCTTGTTTAGCAGTTGCAGGTACGGAGAGTTGAGGCAAGGGGGGCTAGCTTTACTGAAATACACAGAAACTGTGTAGGATATGTTGTATCCTATCCCACTGTGGATTTCTCCTGTTCAAGCTCCTAACCATACTCTTGTCTTTGTTGAGAAGGCAAGGCTGCAGTCCTAAACACGCTTAGGGTGCAGTCCAAGGACTCCTGCCGTTGATGCAGGTAAGCCTCCAAATGCAGAGGCTGACAGGCCTCTGTTTATCTAGTTGGCAGTTTTGGCCATCCAGATAAAGCACTGATGAGGGGAAGGGAAGGAGACTGGAACACAGCAGGAATTGACCTATGGGGATGCCCCCTTTCCTTCTCTGAGGTACAGCTGCCCTGGGAGGTGCAGCCTGCCTAGTTCTTTCTGCAGTGGCCATGAGGGGAGCTACAGTGGCTCAGTTTTTGGATTTCAGCACTGAGGTTGCAGGACCTCAGGACTGGGTCTCTGGCAAATTCTGTGGCCCCCAGACAGGTTGTACCCTTCATAGGAAGAGTGCACCGTTTTGCACAGCAGGCCTTGCTTCTGAATAAACATGCATAGAATTGCTCTGCAGACATACCTGTAAAAATCCTAGCCTTTATCTTAATGGATTTTATTTTTGTAAAAGCTTCCAGCTTTTGTTCAACAGCCAGACACAGACGCTGCTCCGTTGTGTGACTTCTGAAACTCCATTGCGTATCGTCCACCTGTGTGTGAGGCTGTTAACTTTACTTGCCGAGCGTCAGGAGTTGGCCACTCAGTTTTGTTCGTGTTCAGGTGAGACAGCGAGCATCTTCCCAATCCTATTGATTTTGTATAGGACAGTTTTGTAGGACAACTAAATCATAAGGCTGGAGTGAATATGTAAGCTAATTAGTTACTTTATGCAGATTTTGGTTTCAGTTTTCAAACTAGTGAAGCAGCATTACCCGTCTCAGGACTTCTGCAGTTCTGAAATTTGTTGTAACATCTTTGGCTACCTGGGGTTTCAATTCAAGGAAATACAAAGGAATGTTCTGGGCCATTAACAGAGTGGTGCTGGTTGTGTGCTTGTATGTGAGTGCTGCACTGTGGCTGGACAAATGGGTCTGGCAGCCTTCCGATGGGGAGGGAGCTGTCCTTCAGCCAGCCTCACACATTTGCTCACTAACAGGATGGCAGAGCAAAAGCCAGGCAAATGCAGGTAGTGGGAGATCACTGCCTGAAATAGTGTTTTAGGTGATTTTTTGAGGTTTGGGGTTTATGTTTTGTTACCTTTTTCTAGCTGTTTGTCCATTTTTAGAAGGTCCTTGTTGAAATGGATTAGCAATATAATTGTAACTAAGTTTTCATATGAAGTGCCCAAGAAAGCGATGAAGGATACGGTTCAAAAAAATGTGCTGTGATTTTGGGGGCGTTGCAATAACATGGCTAATTGATAAGACTGACGTGCTTGATATAACCCTTTTCCTAGAATCCTGCCTGTTCTTGGCACTGTACATGTATATCACATCACGACCAGATAAATCAGCTTCTGAGATGCTTTGGCTACAGTTGGAACAAGAGGTAAAGAGTGACTGTGTGTGTGCGTGTGTCTGAAGAAGAGGCTGGAAAGCTGTTCAGCCTTTAATTGAACAGGACATGCGAGACTCAAGGGGTTTCTTCCCTTTTTTCTTACTGCAAAACTTCAGACTGCAGATACTATAAAAATTGTTACCATTCTAACATCAACCAACATCTCCCCATAGGAATTGTATTTCATGGAGGGATTTCCGTCGTTCGATGCTTTCTTCAGGAATACCTAATGTACATCTGGCTGGTCTGTGTGTACCTTGCTGGAACAGAGCTTGTATATTCAGGGACCATTTTTTAAGTATCACTGAACTGTTCTTGTATGAGTGCGTGGAACTTGATCTTCAGGCCTGACCCTGTGGGCTCTAGGCTGCTTTAAGTGACACAGCCAGGCCTTGTGAATTAGGAAGTGCTGGGCTGAGTGCCTGGCACGCACTGCTGCTGTTCGAGTGAACTGTCCCTTGTTGGGGGCGATCAGGGACTGCTCCGTTTCATGTGAATCAGGCACTGTCAGTTATTCAATAACCCTACTACTAATCTGGGGTTATTCATTTATGCAAATATTCTGTACAGTGGTCGAATTCACATGACACAGTGCAACCCTGTATATTCAAACTGGTGGCCACACACAGAGCACATGGTGGGTTAATTTGCATGTTGTGTGAATCTGTTCACTTACTTAGGAGTGAGCCTCACTTGCCTTCATTAGGGATTTTTTTCAGATAAAGGTGCATAATGTTGCAGTCTTAGTTGCAAGTTTTAAAGACATTGGGTGTTTTGCTTTTCTTGATTTCTGTCACAAATTACATTGTCTGTTTTTTGTTTTATTGTAGACTGTTCGCTTCCTAACCAAGTGTGTGCAGTGCTGTAGTCTCTTTGTTTCACTTGTTGGAAAAGATTGCCAGTGCAACTCTGAGGTAAGCTGCTAAAATAAAGTATTGGTTATTAAGATCCTAATCGTGCATAATTAGAACCACAGCAAATGCTTTACAACACTTAAAAGCTGAAAAATCTGTCCATCCGTGACGCATTACAAAAATCATCCATGAACAATTTTCTGCTCTACCATGTGAATTCTTTACTATTCCTCCTTCCAATAAGAATTTTATTTTTTTTCACTGCAATACTACCATGTACACAATTATAGCAGTGAAGGGCAAAGTCGAACCCTTCCAATGTGTGTGAGACTTGTGTTTTTCTCTTGCAGGTAGTGAAAGCTCTCATTATAATGCTGCACAGGCAGTGGTTGACAGTCAGAAAGGGAGAAGGAAGTCTGTTTGATCTGCATGGGAAGCGACTTACTCAGTTCTTACGGCAGACTGTTTTGCTCTTGCATGCCCTGTCTCAAAAGGATAAACTCTTCCACGAGCATTGCCTGGAAGTGCTCCATCAATATGATCATGTCATGCCTGGTGTCAGAACAATCCTCAGAAGAGTTCAAAATCTGAAAGCCTGTGAAGGTGAGGCTAATTGTGGAAATGTGACTGATGCCATGAGAGTAACTAGCCACCCTATTCTATCTATGCATATTTACTCAGAAGTACATATGAGTACTGAACTCAGTGGGATTTTAGTCCCACTGTAGGTGTGCATGGATCAAAGCTTTACCCCCTGGTTTGTAGTCCATTTGTTAGCTTTTCTGTTAATTTCATGTTGATCTACTGTGCTTTCAAAGGAAATTCATCACACATTAACCCTTAGACCCTCAGTGCCTTATTTTACATAATGTACTATGCACTGTGCTGCCATTTCCCATTTTTGCAGTAATTAAGACAGAAAGCGTGTGCAGCCTCCATGCAAGCAAAATGCATGGTCTGCTGAGGCTGGGACCAGTGCAAGCGCTACCTGCACAATTTCCGACTGCAGTTTTCTGTTCTGCTTTACTAGCTCACAGAGTCAGGCAAGTGTGCTTACGAAGCTGCTTTCTGCTGAGCCAGTTCGGATCAGGCCATCTGCCACTGAGCTGGGGTTTTCCCTCTAATTTCTTCCTGAAGTCCCACAGAGCACCTTTGGCTTCTATGTGTTTCCTTTTGTGACAATTTTTTTTCAAAGGCTAACAGTCAGAATGTAATTCCCAACCCACAGGGCCGTCTTTTGCAAATGGCTGGTGCTTAGAGAATCTCTCTTAAAGGAGCAGAGCAGTCTTAGGGCTTTGTGAGCTGCCCCCTCTGCCATTAATTGTTAATACTGACAGTGCTCCTGGGCATGTGGCACAGAGTTGGGCCTGCTTGCAAAGAAATGTTCTCATCCAACAGCTCTGTGGCTGGCAGAATCCACCTTGCAGAGCCTTGCTGGGCGTGGGTTCCATGTTGTACCAAATTATAAACACAGGAAGCTGTCTTATGCCACGTCAGAGCATTTATTTATTATGTTTACATCCTGCCTTTTCCCCTTCTTACGAGGAACTGATGGTGGCTTCCATAGTCCTCCTGACGTTATCCTTGCAATAACCCTAGGAAGTAGGTCAAGCTGAGAGTCAGGGACTGGGCCAAAGTTACCCTGTGAGCTTCATGGCCCAACCTCCCTCCTTCCCCCCACTGGCACTTTATCTGGACAACGGAAACAGCTGTCCAGATCCAGCGCACGGGGCAAGGCACGTGGCGGTAGAGACTGCTGGTGCCACACTCCATCTCCACCATGAGATACGTGTCAGCCTCCCGGTTTGGAGGCTTCCGTGAATGAAGGAGGGGTGCAGTAGACTGTCCCCCAAATAAAGTGGGCCTCTCCATTTGATGGGGCATCTAATTTACCAAATGTGTTTTAAGATCCTAGCACTTCTCAAGCACTTTTTATCGTACAAAGTTTTTGGTTTCCCCATTCATCTTCATAATCACTCTGTAAATTAAATTTCAAATACCACTTCATCAGCATCATAGGTGAACAGGGATTTAACTCTAAATGATTTTGAATAATGATGCTATTTTTTTCAAAGTGTCTCCTACTCCTAAAATGCGCACACTCTGTTTCAGAACTTGCCTTGGATGAGCTGTATCCTTTGGAACCGGAAGCTGATGAGCAAGAAATGGAATGCAGCTAATTTTCCCTCAACAATACATTTATTCTCTTTCCAGGAATGGCTAATTTTGAAACTTAATGGAATCAGCTTTTTAAATGTACAATTTAAAATGAAAGATTGGCCAGAAATGATCACCATGGAAGCAGTTTATTGGTTGGGTTTTTTTTACAGTTTTATTGAGTAAATTCCAACCTAATGTATGATAATAAAACACTGCTATCTGAAGAATGTGCTATTAAAAATATCCAAACTTTTTATTTTTTGTGGTTATATAAAGAACCACTTTGCACAGTATCTCAAAACTTACATTAGATCACTAAATATTATGAGGGCACATATAATTTGATCTTTTTAAACATTTATAACATTTTCATGATTTAATAGAGATTTTCCATAAGAAAATCTTAATTCACTGACCTGTTTTGAGGAGAATATTTGTTTTCAAGCAATATAAATTTATGTCTTAGGCTGGAGTACTATGCACATTTAAGTAAAAAGTTCCACTGAATTAGTGGGGTTTACTCCTGAGTAGACAAGTATAAACTTGTGTTGTTAATGTATGTACAAAAGGGCCATGTGGTCCTCAGGTTGTTTCATGTTTGTTATTAGTATTATTATTTCTACCTCATATTTTTTTCCTTTCAAGGAGCTCAGGGTGGTTTACATTATTCTCCTCTCAGTCTTAACCTCACAACAATAACTCTGCGAATGGCATGAACGGGGGTTCTTCCCTTCACAGATTCAAAACCTTGGAAACCTTTTCTTCTTCTTTCTTGACCAAAGCATTTTCAAGATGCACAAGCACTCAGAATGAATCTCTGAGCATGCACAGAACGGTTCATTGAACTCAGTCTAGCTTTCACCTCCAGGAACTGTCCTTGTGAGCATGCCTGGGCTCCATCCCATTGGGAGGGGCTTCTGAAAACAAGCACACCTCTCTGCACGCCACCCCTCCTGTTGGGCTGTCCATCTCTGCTGATGACGTGTCTTGGGGTCCAGAGCTGTGCCCGCCTTGTCTGTGTCTGAGCAACCTCCCTGCTCCAGGCCTGCTGCTGCCAACTGTACATCTTGGTTATTTGCTGAGTCTGCCTGCACACATGGGAGCCTGGCTTTGAGATAAGCACCTCTGCTTCTCTCATCTTAATGTACCCCAGCACATTCCCCAGCCCCCTCCTGTGCCTCTCCTGCTTCTGTTTCTTCTGGAGACCAGCCAGCAGCTCTTGAATAAGAACACCCAAAGCAGCTCTCTTTCTCACTCCCAGCAGTGAGGTAGGCTGGGCTGAGAGTGTTGCTGGCCCAAAGTCACCCAGTCAGCTCCATGGCTGAACACAGACTAGACCCCAGATCTCGGGAGTTCCAGCCCCGCTCTCCTGGCCACTATCCCATAGTGGTGCTGTCCTTCTTATGGAATGTTGTGCGTTATGGAAGACAAATACCAGGCATGAATCTGTTGCTAAGGCCACTGGCTGCAGATAGATCCTACTCACCTGTGTTGTGCCTGCCACTTTTTGAAGGTAGCAATTCCTTGGTTGTTTGGGTGGAAATTGGAATTTTAGGCATCAAGTATTGTGATGGTGGGTGGGGCAGGCTTCTCAGCTGAAAAAACGAATTAACGTAACGTTTCCCAAAGGTGGAATGGAGTGAAAACATAATTGGTGGGGAACTGAGGGAATGAGCAGAAACCCCTCCCCATACTTCCTGTGGACAGGAAGGGGAGGAGCTTCTGTAAAGGAAATGAGTGATTAGCTGTGGAAGTTTCCCAATACTAGGCTCTCTGTAGGTGCATAGCCCATATGAGTGGTGCCCAGAAAGCACAAAACAATGTACAAGTTACTTGGTGGGAAGAAAGATGTCATTGCATTGAATTTTTGGTGATTTTAGGAGCAAAGTAGGCACTGCTGGTTTGCATCATCATAATCTCAGATCCATGGAGCAGCTTCTTCACCCGTGCATTTTGGAGCCCTGCCAGAAATACAGGAGAGAGTCCATGTACAACATGAGGATTCGGTCTCATTGCTGCTTCCTCTTCCACAGGTTCTCTTCTAAGCTGCTGTTTTAAATCAATAGCTGGTGGAAAGAGTGGGATTCAGTTGAATAAGAGACACTCTAAGGCGTTTAAAAATTGCTGCTGCTCATTCCTCTGCAGTGCATTAGATATTATGGACGATTCTCTTCCCTTTTCTCCAGAAATGAAAAGTTGTGGCACTGTCTTGCAGGAATTTACCTGATGCCTCTAAATACATGTACCATTATTCCAGATGTACTGTGCCCTCTCTTAATGTAAACCTCGTCACCAACAATGCAACCATATCTTTCTGCAGCTTCTCATACTTCCTGAGGGTCAGATTTCTGTGCACACGTGTATGTTAAATGTATAGTGTTTCAAGGCAACCTATGACATTCTTGGGTAATTTGCTGGTACAAGTGGCTTGTCAATTTCAGGAATTGCTGAATGAGAGGGATTAGCTAGATTCATCCAGATCTGTCTGGCTTCAGGCCTAGTTGTGAGACAGAAATGGTTCTGGTTGGCTTGGTAGATGATCTATACCTTGAACTGGATAGGGAGAATGTCAGTTTTGCTGGATGTTCTGGCAGCCTTTGGTACTAAAGTATCCCTCTGAGGCAGCTGTCTGGAATTGGCATTGTTATATGGTGGTTCTAGTTCTTCTTGGAGGTGTGACCTCAGAAGGTGGTGCTGGGGAACTCCTGTTGGAAGCCATGGCCATTGGCCTGGTAGCATTCCTTAGGGTTCCATGTTACCCCCATACCATTGAACACGAAAGGTGAGAGAGCTTTTCAGAGTTAACGGGTTTGGTGCCACTAGTATCCTGAGGAGACCCTTATCATCTCTCTTCATCTCATCTAAGGAAGCTCTTCTGGTTCTAAATCACTGGCTTACCTTGTTAATGAACTGGGTGAGGATAAACACATTGAAGCTTCGTCCAGACAAGATGGAAGGGCTTTTGGCCAGTTGAAAGCCAGATCTGCTTGTGCTGGAACCCATCCATCTAGTATTTGGTCACCATCATCTATTTTCAACTTTCCCTAGCATGAGTGCCTTCTCCAGTGAGTCTTGCCTTCTCATGATGTATTCAAAGTACAGCAGCTTTGGTTTTATCATTTTTGCTTCCATGGCATGTACTGACTTTATTTAATCTAAGACGTGTTTGTTTTTCAGATGGTCCATGATATTCACAAAAAAACCCTCTCAGCCCTGTGTTTTGAATGTATTGGTTTTCTTTGTGTCAGCTTTCTTCACTGTCCAGCTTTGACACCCATACATAGGGATCAGGAATACAGTAGTGTGGATGATCTTGGCCTTGGTGTCCTATGAAACATACTTACACGAGCAGCTTCTTTGGTTCCCTTACTGCTACCCTTCCAAGTCTCTTTCTAATTTCTTGGCTGCAGGCGCTGTTTGAATTGATGATTGAGCCAAAGTTTGCAAAGTCTTTCACAATTTTATTTTCTTCATTGTTGACATTAAAGTTGTGCAATTCTTCTGTGATCATGATTTTTGTTTCCTTAATATTCCGCTGCAGTCTTGCTTTCGCACTTTCTTCTTTCCCATTCATCAGGAGTTATTTCAATTCATTCCTGTTTTCTGCCAGTATTATGGCATCATCTGCAGGTCTTAAATTATGGATGTATCTTTCACCAGTTTTCACCCCTCTTTAACTCCTTTTACCCACCTTTCTTTAGTCAAGATCATATCACAAATATATATTGGCTATTGGAATGCACCAAGAATTTCGGAAGATTACGCCATGCTTTATAGACTACACAAAGCCTTTGGCTGAGTGATCACAAGAAGCTTTGGATGGTTCTGACAAAAATGGGTGTGTCTCAGCACCTGGTAGTCCTGTTGCTTAACCTGTATTATGGAAATATTAAGGCATAACATGGAGGAACAAAATGATTTCATGGCCTCTATACCTGGCCAAAATTTTGGAAAGAACATTTCTTTTTCCTGCCTTTGCTTTCTTAGCATCTAGCTCAGGAGTCCCCAGCACTTTTGGACCTGTGGACTCATTTGGGAATTTGAGAAACTGCTGCAGGTAACACCACAAAATGGCTCCACAGTGGATACAGACAGTCACATAATGGTTGTTGTGTGGACCTGGCTAGTCAAAAGTAAGCCAAAGAGGTGGTGAGGAGGAGGACTAGGCTAGAGGTGAGGATGGAGGAGGAAGAAGCAAGGCAAGTAGAGGGGAGACAGAGCAAGTCAAGAGGGTGGATTGAGAGAAACAGGAAGGTAAGGCAGAGCATCTGGGAGTGAAGAGAAACAGTAAGATGAGTGAGTGAAAAAGAAGGCTAGAAAGGGATGGAGACAGGAGAGAGCAAGGGCAGAGACTAGTGACTGGGAAAGTGAGAAACCAAAGGGGAAAGTTTTCTGAGGGCAGAAATCAGAAAACAGCTGATCTGCAGCAGATGCAGACACAGGAAGGAGAACTTGGGGCCCCAGTGATTTTCTTTAAAAAATATTTAATGGGGGAGAGAGAGCGAGAGACTCATGGATGCCACTGGAGAAACAAGTGGGTGCTGTGGCACTTGAGACCCTGATCAAGTTTGATGAAGAACTTTGAAGAACATGAATGTTTGCTTATTTCTGTGTTCTTTCAGCTGGTTTTAAATTGCGTTTTGGATTACTTTCCTCAAACCAGCACAGCTGTCTTTGACTTTTAATGTCATATACATGTAAGGGCAGAAAGAATGTCATAGTCTAGCCTTATGATGAACAGATGCCTAAATGTATCAGAAATGCTGGAGAAATATGCCACCAGCTCAGGCTTCACTGCTGCTCTGTGTACAGCCTATGAACCAGGAGAGTAGATTCACACCAGTGTATGTACAATTGCTTACCTATTAGTAAATGATAATCCTGGAAAATTGTGAAAAATAGCCATAAGACAGTTCAGTAGAGAGAGGCACAGTTTTGCATTTTGGGGACTACATATACACAGCAAAAGCTACATGGTGAAGACAGAGACTGTGCTAACTTCCTATACTCGGAAAGTTGCCCTGCTTCCTGACAAAAGTTTTGCTTTTTCACAGTGGCAATATTCAGTGGCCTGGGCAATATTTAATGGGTGTTCCCATGTTTGGAGAGCTTGCTCTTCCTCAGCTTGTTAGCCAGGCAGCTGGTAAAGGACTATGAGCCTCTCCTGCTCATATACACATGTTTTATAAAGAGAGCCTGAAAACCGGTGGGTGGTGCTGGGAGTGGAAAGCCTCTTCAAAGCTAAGCCATAGTG